CAGAAGCGCCAGACTGTCCTTGCAAAGTTGGAATTGCCCCACTTTATAGAAACAGACACCAGCATTGTAGGCTACTCTCTTAGGAAACAGTCCTCCATAAAATGTGCTGCACACATCTGAATATTTGGGTTGAATTGTTCTGGAACAGTGTTGTAAATACAACATAACCACTGATTTCTAGTCGTGTCCTCTTTTGGAAGGCCAAACAAAGTAGTTTCGCTTTCACAACGAAACACACAGCGTCACACACGACGGGCTTGAGTGAGCGGCGGCCTGCGGATTCGATGAAGGAGCGGCCGACGGGCTTGCGGCAACCACATGTGACGACCCCGGGCTGGACTCCGTTTCGTCCAGGGTGAAAGCCGATCCGGCGATTTTTATTTTTTTTTAAATTTATTTTATTTTATTTATTTTTTTATTTATAAAGAATATCTCTTTGGATTTGAGACTTTAGTCTTTGCAACTTTACAGATCTTCTTTATGCACTCCAAAGAGAAAAGAAACACTCCAAAGAGAAAGGAAAAATTTAAATTGCATCATATGACCCCTTTAACACATGTTGCAAAGTTGGAATTGCCCCACTTTATAGAAACAGACACCAGCATTGTAGGCTACTCTCTTAGGAAACAGTCCTCCATAAAATGTGCTGCACACATCTGAATATTTGGGTTGAATTGTTCTGGAACAGTGTTGTAAATACAACATAACCACTGATTTCTAGTCGTGTCCTCTTTTGGAAGGCCAAACAAAGTAGTTTCGCTTTCACAACGAAACACACAGCGTCACACACGACGGGCTTGAGTGAGCGGCGGCCTGCGGATTCGATGAAGGAGCGGCCGACGGGCTTGCGGCAACCACATGTGACGACCCCGGGCTGGACTCCGTTTCGTCCAGGGTGAAAGCCGATCCGGCGATTTTTATTTTTTTTTAAATTTATTTTATTTTATTTATTTTTTTATTTATAAAGAATATCTCTTTGGATTTGAGACTTTAGTCTTTGCAACTTTACAGATCTTCTTTATGCACTCCAAAGAGAAAAGAAACACTCCAAAGAGAAAGGAAAAATTTAAATTGCATCATATGACCCCTTTAACACATGGTTTCCTTCACAGGGAGCAGAAAGCCAAAAGAAACAGTCAGTGGGTGCCCACTCTTCCCAATAGTTCCCATCATTTGGACGCTGTGCCTTGCTCCACCACTATTAACCGCAATCGACTGGGGCGTGACAAAAAAAGGACCTTCCCGCTCTGGTGAGACTTTTTTTCTAATGGGCAAAAAATTTCAATTTCACTTTGAGCTTAGCATCACTGTTTATAAAGTGATGGATTCAGAATGTGACTTATGACTCCCGTAATGATGTTTTATGTCTGCTTAAAGTGATAGTTTACCCGAAAAAGAAAATGCTGTCATCCTTTAATGTCCTCTCAAGTTGTTCCAAACCTGTATGCCTTTCTTCTGTGAAACACAAAAGAAGATATTTCAGGTCCCATTGACTTTGCATGGACAAAAAATATTATGGAAGTCAATAGGAATTGAAAAGGTTATATATATATATATA